ATCATCCAAATCATCCAAGATCATCCAAGACATCCAAGATCACCAAGATCATCCAAGATCATCCAAGATCATCCAAGATATCCAAGATCATCCAAGATCATCCAAGGACATCCCAGATCATCCAAGATCATCCAAGATCGTCCAAGATCGTTCCAAGATCGTCCAAGATCGTCCAAGATCGTCCAAGATCATCCAAGATCATCCAAGATCATCCAAGATCATCCAAGATCATCCAAGATCATCCAAGATCATCCAAGATCATCCAAGATCATCCAAGATCGTCCAAGATCATCCAAGATCATCCAAGATCATCCAAGATCATCCAAGATCATCCAAGATCATCCAAGATCGTCCAAGATCATCCAAGATCATCCAAGATCAATATTCAATGATTCCCCTCTTTCCCCAAACACTCCCACGATATCCCACGATTCTGCCGAACTTGGAGAGCTCCCATGGCCGATCCAAAAGGGCCATGCCTCCGAGGCCTGGCAGCAATACGTCATCCAAGCGGAGCGCCAGTACTTGAAGCTCATCAAGGAGGATGGGATGCGAGTTGTGAAGCTCATCTGTTGTAGTTGAAGGATGTTGAAGGATGTTGAAGGATGTTGAAGGATGTTGAAGGATGTTGAGATGTGTGGAAGCCAAAATTTATGAGCCACTTCAGGCTGAAGAGATGGAGACACGGGTGGTGCACTTGGCTTGATGTGCACAAACGCCTTGAAGCAGTGACGTCAGAGATGCCCGGGAGAAGTGACCGGGTGCATTCCATGGTTCTGCGGACTGAGGCCATGGCGCGAGCTGAAAAGGAGACCCGACGAGCTGAGCAGGTGGAGTTCCGTTTGCACAAAGTGACAGAGACCATGTGACCGTCGTGACCCATGTGCATTGCACATTTTGATGCAGCTGCATTTTGGTGATTTCTGTGAATATTAATATTGTGCCTCTTGTGAGCATTAAGCATTTTGGAGCTCGATCATGAAAGGATTTTCATGATACTCCAGCGATCTCACGCAAATGCTTTGATATTTGAAGTGTGTTTCCTTGTCCTGATTGAGTTTATGGTTCCGTTCCTTGTGCTTGTCCCCAGATGCTTGGAGCGCATTGCCACTGTTGAATTATGTTGAATTTATATGAATTTATGCTAGCTATTTGGGGATGGGACTTGTGGCATTTGAGAGAAAGCGCAAGGCTCGTTTGGATTTCGAGCGTCGCTGGGGCCTCAGTGCAAGGCAAACATTATATATCCTGTTTTTGTGATGTTTGAGAATGATATCTCTTGGCATTTCCTGGAATCAAATCAACAAGCATCAAACAAATGAACAAACATCAACCATAAACGTCAACATCATCAAACCACGTATAGTTTTAACGTGTTTTAATGTGCTTTTTAACGTGCGCTTTAACGTGCTTTAACGTGCTTGAACCATAACTATCCAGAACTATAACGCACTTATACCATCCCAATGCATGGGATCTTAGGTCGGCGCCATCGTGAAGAGAAGATGCGCGACGCTGAACGCGGCGCCATGAAACGGGCCGACGAGGAGAGCCGCTTCGTGCTGCCCTCGGTGTTGACTTTTTTCGGGTGGAAAATCATTGGATTTGAATATTTTGGAGGGATCCTCTATCTGTCCATCTATATCCATTACAGAATATATCAATCATACCTGTTTCCAAGCCCCCTAATTATCATGTTTGGGACAACATCAATCAGCACTACGTCCCACTGCACTCCTGAACCCTTCTCAATCGTGTTATATATAACCGATGTTTGTTGCAGGGCTCAATGAAGGTAAACAGATGTCTTGGCCCTACCCAAGCCCCGGGGCCTTTCAGCTCGGGATATTCTTTTCGAGTATTCTATGTGTTTTTTGTGTTTTGACTCCATTTGATTCTGGCTGTTGCTTTCGGTTTGCCCTTTCTTGGACCTTGTTTTCCTTCTGAGTTGTTTGCTGACGTAACATCATGGGCACCTCTTTTTGACAACATTGTAACCACAAGATAGAACAGTTACAAATTATGCTGCTAAATTCTATTATTGGCTTACAAAATGTGTTGTGATGCTGTAATTTGACAGTCCCATCTCGCCAGCTGTTTTTCCTAGAGCTGAAACATCCAGGGGTGCAAGTTGTAAGATCTAGTCTTGACCCACACAACTTGGGTTGAGAATCTGAGCAAACAAAACCCCGCGATGCCTAGGTCGAAGCTGCAATTGCGTTGGCCGAAGAACGTGCTCGTGAGGAGTTTGAGTCCCTTGGGCTGCACCGCATTTGACCTGCAACAACCATGAGATTCGTCCTTGATGACATTTGATGACTTCACTGAGGGCCGAATTGATGGAGCGGGCAGAGGCCGGCAGAACACCTTGACTTGAGTGGTGTTGGTTGAAGTTTTTGTTGAGCACTTCCATGGCTTCAGAGCAAGTTCAGCAGGACGAAGTCCGCGAATTTATTCAAGAGGAACGAAGCAGGGAAGCAGATGAGTCACTGCCTGAGTGTCGCAAGTTTTCCATGGACTATGATAGTAAATTCATGCAAAATCATATTTCATTTGCAAAGGCGGAGAAGGATGGCTGCTGATGAACAAGAGTTTTTCAGACGCCACGAAGAGGACAGATTTCGAGTTGGAGAGTCCGGTGAGTTTTTGGCCGTCGGTTTTTCTTGCCCATGCCCCACGACCCACCCAGCATGATAGCTAGTTGCCCAGCCCTTTTGTTGATGAAATAACACCTACTGTATGATCCAGTCCTTCCTGGGTTACACATTTGGATCTGTCTGAAAAAAGAGTATACCACGCAATTGGCCAATCTACTAGGGATCATGATGATTACCCAATGGATTTAGGGGAATCTTAGTTTCTGACAAACCCATTTGAACGCTACAATACATGGGTCTTTCCAGAAATGGGGTGTACTGGTGTACGCTTGATAAAGATTCTACTACCACTAGGCTTAAGTCGTATCAATCGACCTGAAGTCGTATCACACCTGCGTGCGCGCAGTGTTTCGTATAGATTTTGATAGTTCTTTATTTGATGGGTTATTGATTCGAACACTTTTTCATCGCTGTGCGCAATGTTTTGTTGACATGATTCTATTTGACCCTACTAGCCCTAGCGTTAAGTCGTATCAGCTCGTAGAAGTTGTATCGGGAGGCCGTGCGCCTGGAAAAAGTTCAAGTTTGGCATCACCACAACTTTTAGTAATTGGACGATTTCATTGTTTTGGGGCCGTGCGCCTAGAAAAAGTTCAATTTTTGTATTGCGTTGATTTATAAAACTTATATTATATTTCATTATTCTTTCAACGGGGCAAACGCTGGTTGCTGCTTTCTGCTTGCTTTCTGCTTGCTTGCTGCTTGCTTGCTGCTCCTTGCTGCTGCCTCCTGCTGCTGCTGCTGCTTCCTCCTGCTGCTGCTTCCTCCTCCTCCTGCTGCTGCTTCCTCCTCCTCCTCCTCCTGCTGCTGCTGCCGCTGGTGCAAACATTTTGCCGAAAAAGAAAATTACAGTCTCGGTCGCCTTGTTTGGCGCTGGCGGGAGATACGGGCGGGAGACGCCAGCAGAGAGAGGGAATGTTTACAGAAGGCAGAACTTATGAAACATTCAAGCGGAAGCGGATGTTGACAGCGGTGTGCCACTGGGTTTTCAGATTTTAACGTTGTTGATATGATGATGTTGCCCATAGCTATTACATGGAAATCTATGTTTGTTAGGAAACAAAGTTAAAGATCTGGGAGGCCGTGTGCCATGGTGATTCCTAAATATATCCTTTGAAAACATAGTTTAAACATATGTGAATACCTCAGTGTGCGCAATGTTTTCTTCATTTTTGGAGATATAACAACATTCCTTGAAAGCCGGTGTGCCATTGGGATTTTGATATTTTGATGTGACTTTTGCCCAGTTGATGTGACTTTCTTCCAACTCGCTGTTACATGGGGTTGATGTGACTTCTGCCCAACTGATGTGACTTAAACCCTTCGCTCGTAGTAAACAAACATTCTGATAAACCCATATTGATTTCTACACTGTGAATCCCCTGACACGTCCTTGGGAGCAAGATTGCAATAATTCCAAAAAGGTAAGACATTTTTATGAGGAAAGGATCGCCTATCAGGATGTGCAGCAAATTTTGAAAGGATGAGATTTGCTCACAGCACCTGTAAGGAATGAGCTGGAAACAAGCTTCAAACCCGTCGCACCAATTTATGATCACTGTTAGATACTGTTAGCAACATGAAGTCTTGCGCAGGAGAAGCGTCGAAAGGCGGAGGAAGAGAGGAAGCAAAAGCTGGTCATGGAGTGGAGGAGGACAAGTTTTGACTTGACAGTCAAAGGATGTCAGGGGTGTTGTGGATTTTAGGTATCACATTGGAAACCCAAGAGCCGCATCAAGAACAGAAGCTTTCAACCTCATGCAAACATGAACAGAGGCGTCTTTTCAGAAAACCTACCAGTGGTCCAGGAAGCAGAAGGCTCGAAGAGTGCGAACCCAAGAAAATCATGCTACGTTGAAAACTGTCACAGGCTCAAAGACGCCTTTCACACTGATGTTTGCATAAGATGTGGCCTGCATTCAGGCGTTGGACTCAGATGAAGAGGACATGACCAGAATGCCGATTCTGATGTTGCGCGCAAACACACGCAGACACGGACAGAAACACAGTCAATCACATTGAACAGGAGGAATTGAAACCCGAAGAAGACGATGAAGAGAAGGAGAAGGAGAAGGAGGCTAAGATTCCTCTACCTCGCTGGTGTGCCATTGTTGTGTTCCGGTTGTTCTTGTCCATTGCCATTAGAAGAATTAGATTCAGTTGAACATTGTAGTTATTATTGATGTATATTGATGTTGTGGCTGTGATTTGTGTTAGGAACAGAAGGGTACAAAGGGCACTTGGACGGGGCTCAAGTTCAAGGACTGAACGCCGCGTAGAGGGAGAGTGAGGGAGAGGGCCTGATGTTGCCATTGGCCAATGTCTTGCAGGAGGAAGTGTCAGCGAAGGCCAGCTGGCACTTGGACGGGCCTTAGTTTAAGAAAACTCGGGGATCGTTTCTACAGCAATATCTTCCGAGCAATCAAAAGAAACATGTCGATTCTTTTCCTGCACCTTAAAGCGGCAATTTAGCATGACTCTTTATACTCTTTATATCTCTTTGTATCTCTTTGTCATTTAGTCAACATTAATTAGTCAACATTATATAATTAGTAATATTAGTATTGGAATGTGTTATGAATGTATTAGATAACATGATGATAACATGATGATAACATGATGATAACATTAGTGCATCACTGGATATCACTGGATATCACTGGATATCACTGGGTTGCTTCCAGGTCGAGACGAGTCAGGCAATGGCTCGAAATCCCTTTGGACCTGTTGGCCCTGGCCCATCGAGGCGCAGAGACACTGCCACGGGTCTGTGAGAAGCTCAAGATAGCTCAAGTCCTGAAGCTGAGTTAGAGCATTTCGGAAAGATATGTGAATTGTAAAGATCATATGTATTCATATGTCGCATTCCTATATGCATTTCTACAAGAGTCCAGGATAATCCTCGACTTCACGAAAGAAGAAATAGCCATGGTCAGCAGAAGTTTCCCAAACCAAGACAGGCAACCTTCCAAGAATGAGAAGGATGCGAGGCCAAAGTCACCCAAAGATGAGAAGGTGTGACACCGTGTGACACCAGTGTCCAGTGTTTCCATCTTGAGGGCCTGTGTTTTCCATATTGGTTGGCTGTTTGTGCATTGTGGATATTGATGATCATGGTACTCGAAAACACTATGTAACCCTACAGACCCCGTGGCTGGGTTTGCTTCCGCAGTGGGATCTGGGTCCAGGTCGTTAACCGGACCAGGTAGTTTCACGGTTCGGACCAACATTGCATGACATGTTTCAGACATTTTCAGACCACAGTAGCAGGGAAGTGAATCGCCGGACAAGCGCAGGTTTGCGCAGGTTTGCGCAGTGGAATGTGTTCGCCAGATTGTATAGTTATAGTTGTCTCATGTTGTCTCATTCCCAACCATGTTGCTAGACTGTGTTTCTCGACAGGACGTCAAACGCGACAACAAGCGAGCACGGAAGGAGGAGAAACGTAGGTAAACGCCTGAGCAGATACCTTGTGATTTGTCTCGTTGATTTCATTGCCTCGTAGCAAATCTGGCTATAAGATTTGATCAATGTCAATCAAGTACACCAATCAAGACTTTTGTTTCTGGTGTCAAACGACGTGCTTCATCATTGACGGGCAAGTGAACACCCGCTGGACATTATTCGACCCTTTCGTCCGCACGCTTCTGACATTAGCTTGTCAACAGTTGAGACACATTGAAACACCACACAGACACCACAACTATCAGAACACATCATAACACGTCGTGACGATGTGGAAAATATCCTGAAGGCTCAAGGAAGAAGAAGCTGCCAAACGACAGAAGCGAGAGAAGGAGGCACATTTGTTGAGTTCGTAAGCGTGGTGCACCTGAGAAACCAGCGCCAACCTTTGAAAGTGTCATTTTGCCCACTCAGATGAGCCTGGAATGGTGGAGTTGTAATGTGAAGACATGTGAGAGAGAGAGAGAGAGAGAAAGAGCTTCGTGCACTTCAAGGAAGTATAGCTGGCTATAAGAGGAGTCTGACTGTTGGTTCAGATACGAGTACTTGTGGTGCCGGTTGCCGCCGTGGGTTCAAAACAGGCCAAATCCATCAAAATCCTACTCTCCTGAGGGCAAGAAATGATTTAGATATGGGACCAGCAGGTCAAGAAGTGTATCCCAGTGACCTGAACGATGGAGTTCCAAATGAGTTGGAAGGTTTGGAGGAGGCAACACCATTGGTCAAAACCGCTTCTCCAAGCTTCGTGAACAGGAGTAAAGCCACCCTGGGCCTAGGCCTTTCCCTGTTTGGGCTGGTGGTTTGCAGTGCAACTTGGTACTGCTTTTTTCAGAGGGAAGGCAATGAGTCGCCTGAGGAGTTCACAGGTGTTGTGCTTGCAGAGCTTGCAAGCTGCGGGCGTAAACTCATGTGGTCCAGCCATCCTGGGATGTGTGCTGCAGCCAAGGGAGCATGGCATGGGGCAGAACTCACTCTTCAGCCCTGTGGCACTTTGGGGTTTCTGGATGAATGGATCTTCACCAAGGATGATATTGCGCTTCGGGCACGCTTGGCTTCCGCTCCTCATTTCTGCATGGATTCGCTCAGTCATGGAAAATCATACCCAGGTGCCCCACTTCATGTCTCACATTGCTCAGAGACTAATGCCAGTCGGAATCAGCATTTCAACCTCACGAAGAAAGGTCATGTGAGATCCTTTGACCTTTGCATGGACGTGCAGTATGGATCGTCGTCTCCTGGAACGAAAATCCAACTTTGGCATTGCCAGAAAGGGCCAAACCAGCATGTCAAGCTCATGCCTTGCCTAGAAAGCTGCTTCAAGCAGGTCCAGTGGAAGAAGGCAGGGCAGTGTTTGACCACAGCTGGATGGCACTTGAAGGAAGGTTTGCCAGTGATACTGGGAGGGTGCATGGATACACATATTGGCGCCAGTCAGTTCAAATTTCGCAATTCTGGGGGACAGCTTCAGCTGGCCTTAAACGAGGAACTTTGTGTTGAAGTAGATGGAAGCAAATTGCACCTAGCCAAATGTGCAACGGGCCGTTTTGGACAGGAATTTGTTTTGGATGGAGCCCTGACCTTTGGTAAGAGTTGTCTCATGGCGCAGCAAAATCAGTTGCAAGTCTTGAAGAATTGCATGCCAAGCCCCGAAGTTGAAGCCTTCAGCTCGGGCTGCGAAAGTCTTTTGCATCCTGTGGAAGCCGCCAAAGCTCCCGGACAGAAAGGAGCTGGATGTCCGAGGCAGTTGAAGTGGTCCAGCCATCCAGAGCTTTGCATCGGAACGATGCAATGGCAGGTGGGAAATGGACAGCACATCGTTCTGGCTCTCTGTGAGGATCATGGCATTGATCACCCACGGCAGCATTGGCTCATCACTCCAAGTGCCTTGGTGACATGGTGAACACATGATGAACAAGGGCGGAAGTCCAAAAAATGAACAAAGGAGATGACAAAGGTATACGAAGGTGACTACTTTTGTGATTGGTTTTTAGTGTTCGTTATTGTGCATTTCACTGTTCGTGGGGTAATTGAAAATATGAGGTAATTCGTCAAGAGGAGTACATAGCACAGTCATGGATTGTCTATAGGATGAACAATTGAAGTTACCCAGCCAGAAGTTTGGCGTGCATGTCATGGGCATCACGCTCCGGTGCAAAGACTTTGTTTCTGAAGAGTATGGTTGCTGCAAAGAAGGATCACTTGATCACTAGGAACCTGTTGTAGAGATGCAGCATGATGGCGCTATTTTGTAGCAACCAAGCACGAAAACAGAGTTTAGGGTCTGAGCCAAAATGAGCCAAATGGGAATTACAATTGTTCCAAACCAGATCGATATTTGTCTCGGTGAAGTTTCATAGTCAGAGTTTCGTTCTTGTGATGTCCATTCTTGCATCACGACTAGGTCACTAGGTTTTGGTAAGATTGTGCTACTTCCTGTCCAAGTTTTGTATGGTTTTGTGTATTTTCTTGTCTCTGTGTTTATCATACGAGTCAAAATACAGTTGGGTGTTGAATCAAGGGCACATCCCTGCCATGGTAGGTGGGAAGATTGTGTTGGCTTCAAGCCCAAGCTACTGCGTTGATGTGAAGGACCATTCTCAGGAAGTTGGGGCCCTTTTGGAAATTTCACCATGCATTGATGGTGATGAAGGACAGCAATTCACCGTCGATTGGGATCACAAAATCCGACAAGGCAATAGGTGCATCGGCGTGGTGGAGGATATGGCACTGGCATTTTCAAAACTTGAACTCAGAGAATGTGGTGGAAACCAGCAGTTCGTCCCTGATGTTTGCGAACATGACGAGCATGCTGTTCCAACAAAACGAAAAGGTTCCTTCTTGGTGGTGGGAGATTGGGGTTGGGATTCCCTGGTTCATGGCAACGTGCCCAAGGCAGCTTGCCAGCAAGAGATTGGGATGCTGATGACCCAAAAGATGGAGGAACTGAGAGATGTGAAGTTCATCATCAACGTGGGCGACTCATTTTATCCAGATGGTTTGACATCCAAGAATGATCCTCGCTGGGGACAGCAATGGCGGGACAGATACCCAGACAGGTTGAGAAGCGTTCCATGGTATTCGGTCTATGGCAATCATGACACTCATCATGATCCAGGGATGTGTGACCCGGAAGCAGGGTCACAAATCGATGGGAACCTTCACGATTATTGGACCTTTTACATGCCCAGCTACAACTGGCACATTGATCACCCGGAGTTGAACCTGGAAGTCGTTGCGCTTGACTTGAACAAGTTCATGGAGGGCTGGAATAAGAGTCGGAAGGCGAGTGAGTTGAAGCTCTCAGATTGCCAATACAGCAAATGTCCACAGACCTGTGTGGACAATGCAGAGTTACGTGCAGATGGGGCCTTTGACTTGATGACCAACCGTCTCAACTCATCGAAGAGAAAGAACCTCGTTGTCTTCTCACACTACCCAACAGTTCCTTGACAAATTGGCAGACGTTGAATCATGTTGAATCTGATTCTGGAAACATGTCCTGATTTGCTTGATGATTCAATAGCAATGAATATATCGATCATTGCCGAATATTCATGAATATTCTCAACCTAGTACTCAATGCCTTATTTTTTCTCCATGTTTCATCGAAAGTTTCATCTGTTTCTGAGGACTACTTCCAGTCCGTGCCCAAGTTCCTAAACCAACTGCGGCCTGGACATGGAAAGCCTGGACAAAGCGTGGCCTACTTTTCAGGACATCGGCACAACACGGACCAAACGAGCACCTTCCGAACAGGTCCACATGACTGGCTGGTGGGAGGTGGTGGAGGCTGGAGTTGCGATGGCCTTGAGCAGGGCTTTGTGGTAGTGACCATTGATGAGGATTACCAATTGAAGACGCATCCGGTCCTGATGAATCCCTACACCTGTTGCCCAGATTTAGCACATAGTGTCTATAGATACAAGTGAGGCAGTCGCCAAGCGACCATGCCAACCACTGCCAACCGAGTGAACAACGATTTCACTCGTCATCCTAAATCATGTTATACTAAATCATACTAAATGGATATGTGCATAGCCTGCATAGTGGCATGGGCTTTCTTTGAAAACCACCCAAGCCATCTGAAACCAATGAGTGACTGCTGAATGTACGTCCAGTCTGAAAGGTGCGGCTGCTTGTGACATGCATGCTGCAGTTTGGCACACTTCTGTGCTAGTGTCAGCATTTCGGATGTTATGTATATGTTATCACATCATGTTGTCATGTCACGTTGGCATGAGATGGCATGAGCATATTGGACTTTTCTCGGTGAGCAGCTTGAATTCTTTGCGAGGAAGCCGAAGCTGAACTGCAACGCTTTGAACAGGAGCACAATCTGTTGCTGTAGCAATCTGTAGCGATTTGTGGCGGCAAGGCCAGCGGATGCTACAGTAATGGTAGTTTTTTCAGGGATGTTCAGGCTGTAGCACACCACTTAACACTTGGCTGCCACGGCTCTTTCGTGGAACAGTCTCAGAGCCGAACAGGACCCGTGCAAGGCTTAGAGACACAGGATTTACTTGCAAGATCGTGAGACATTGAACGTTTCCACAGTTGAAAAGTTGCGGTTTGTCCTTACTGCATGTCAATGTTTTGTTCTTCCCATGTCTTTGTCGAGCAAGATCTCTTATGAGAAGCAGAGCTGGTTGTTTTATGTGTTTATTAATTTTGTTTCTGCATTTCATAAGTTTCCAACAGAAGAAAACTCGCTGCTTCGAAGCTGTGCCAAGTTCGACACAGGAGTTGCAGCGTCGGAACAACTTTCTCTTGCGACGCCGTCAGCAGGCGCTTGGTTATCTTGGTTCCAGAACTGTTCCAGACTTCCTATTGATGTTGACCCTGAAATTCCGCAGCAAGGAGGAAGACGACCAACGCAAAGAAGTAGAGGCGACTCTAACCTCTGCAAAGTGGTTGGATGATGTTGGATGGATTTCATCAGATTCTAGACTGTCTTTGACCTTGTGATTCTTCTATGCTCCGTGGCTTTCTATTTGTGTTGAATGTACACACAGCCTGTTTTCACGTTTTTCCTGCTTTGTCTCCTGGCTTTGTTGACCGGGTTGTGTTTCAAGAAATTTGTCACGAACGAAGCCGAGCTGAGTGAACGTTCAGGCGCAGAAACAAGCGGCTAGAGAAGAAGAAGAACGTCCGACTCTGATTTTGTCATCGCACAAATGGCCCAGTGCAGTTGCTATTTTTCCAAAATTACCTCAATTGAACGCTTGATATCAGTGGGAAAACATGGGAAAAACATGGAAAAACCATCTCTGATTTGGAGAGGACCTGAGTACATACTCCATGTATCTCCACGTTTTGTTTCGAGATGCTCGCAGCGTCTCACAGTCAACGCACAAGTTCAAGGCAAGCAGCGGGAAATTGAGATCAAGCGCAGGGGCCTTAGATTTTGTCTGGAAGTCACCGGATATCTAAAGTGTTCTGGAAGCAATGATTTGTATCAGAAAAACATAGGAAACAATTACAATTGCCAATGCTGTGGTTGAGTCTAGCTGCAACTCACACAAGACGGGCCGTATCGAGTCGTCTTAGGTATGTCTGTAGAGGACAAACTTCGAATGAAATTTGAGGTGGAGGCCGGCCTGGGGGTTGACTTCAAAGCCAATCCCCAAGCTTCATTGATGTTTATTGATGTTTATTGATGTTCATTGATGATTGATGTTCATGGGCCATTCATGGGATACTCCGTCCACAATGTATTTCCAATATTTTCCAGGCTTCAGGCAGAGTCTCTCCAGATTCTTGTTCTGCAGGAGAGGCGGCAAGAAGCTGAGAAGCGCAAGTTAGAGGAAGCAGAGCGTCGAAAGCAGGTGCAATGATGTGCTCTTGTGCTTACACCCATTTGCATGGATATATTACAAGAACATACAAGAACCTTGTCCCGATGCAGGAGCGTGCTGAGCGAAAGCGAAGAGAGCAGGTGGGAAGAGAGCGAAAATGTCCTTCCCCTTCAGATTGCATGTGTGACATTTGTATACATTTGTTCCACCGCAACGCCTCATTTGCGAGCAACGAGAAGATGGGTAATGTATACAGTGAGCCCATGTAATTAATATGATTCCCATGGTGAATCAGATTATCCTTCAGAAACCATCCCGAATATCAATGAATATCATAAATGATGATCATATGATGATAGATATATGATAATATGGTGATGATTGATGATCATATGATGATAATATGGTCATAAAATCATCCCCAAAGGTGGATTTGGCGTTGAATCCCACAGGAGCAAGAGAAGCAATGTCGGGAGGAGCAACGAAAAGCTGCCCGACCATCACCAGAGGAGACTGCCAGGCCACGCATGGCCACGCGACACCGGACTTCTGGATGACCTGACTCACCTGGGGGTAAAACAATACCATAAACCACCCATTTGGGAATGGTTGATAGCACCAAAAAAAGTACCTATTTATGGTGATTTGGGGGATGGAAAATTATTGTTTTACCCATATCAAATGGAATAGATGTCCATTGCTATCCATTGCTGTCAGGCTTTTGCAAGCCAAAGAGCAGGACGGCATGCATGGTATGGAAGCAAAATTAATGCATATTGATGCAAAATGAAGCAAATGTCCAGAACAGTTGCAGACAAACGTTGCAGAGACATGCACAGACTCAATTTGTGCAAGCTCAGCAGCGCACTTTGAAGGAGATCGCGAGAGTGCAGGCAGAACTGGCAAAGAAGAGGCAACTGGAGAACACAGCTGTGATATGCTGTGATATTCTTTCGCTCCTTGTACATTTCCACCACCAGGAAAGAAGAGGCACACAAGAAACAGATGGAGCAACGCGAAAAAAGCGCTTCTCTTAGATTTGCTGAAGAGTCCCCATTGGAACCTCAGCATTTCAACTTTCGGCCTTCCTAGGTAGGAGCAGATCAAAGTCATCGTCCCCAAGATCCCCAAGATCCCCAAGCAGGAGGCCAGCCGACATTCCTTTCACATCTTACACAATTCCTATTGAAACCCTCGGGAAGATCGTCGCGAATCTTGCAGGGTTTTAATATGTTTTAATGGTGATGTTGCATGATTTCGGGTGATGCATTGACACGACAGGTCAAGCAGTAGCTCGCCAGCTACGGACTTACATCTGTTTATCCATGATCCGTGACTGAAACGGTCAGTGAGGAAGTGACCGCCTAGACATTGAATTTGCGGACAAATCTTCTTAGGTTCGGAACAAATCACGCCGTGGGCGCAAAGATAAGCGACGCTGGGATGCTCAAGAAACCATTTGGATTCATCCGGAACTGCTTAAAGTTTTAACTTAATGGTGCCGTAAAAAGAGATACAAAGGCCAGGGCCGTACCATCCTTGAACATGGCATGCGTTCTATGAAACACCATGCATCAATGCTTGATAAGCATTCCACAAGTCACCCAGTGGGCAGCCTTGAGTCTTGAGGGAGCCGGAGCCGAAGCCGAAGCAAGCCAAAACGTTCCAGGAACGAGAAGTGGAGTGCTGAGCCTTTACAGTACATCTGAAAATGTCTGAAATTCGCTGTACCATTATTGTCTTGGCTGCACTGTATATGTATGCATCGTGTTTGGCAGGCACTGGGTGTGCATTTTCATTAGGGTGAGTATGTAAGCTGATGAATCCATTTTGGCTCAAGTCTGAGCCAAACTGGCTTCATCGTTCTTTCTTTTCTGGGGTACCCACGCCACTTCTAGGGAGTTACCCTAGGGTTAGTGGTTTCTCGTACCTCTACTAGGGCGTTACCCTAGAGTACAGAGGTTGAGAAGGTGGGAGGTCACCCCCCTCGATGCCAAGGGCCTCCATCGTCGTTCGGCCCGGCTGGAATGAGGCTGCCCACACGGATGTGGAGCTGCTTCATGCAGCTGCTTACTACGAGTTCAAGACGCACGTGGAGGGCCTGCTCCAGCGGGGCTTTGTGGCCGAGGCCACCCGTTTGTGGGCGTCTGTGTGCCAAATTGATCATTTCCCCCCACATCCAATTGGGTTGGGGGTGCAGGGACTTCCCCCTTTCAGACGGTCACCTTGTATGGAAGAAAACTGTAGGAGGTGTACTGAGTATCAGGGAGGATTCAAGTTCCCTTGGATCGGCACATGGAACAGCTCAGCTGTCTTGGCTCTGCCCGGGAGTGACCCGCGGCGTGCGTGGCAATCCTACTATGATCGCCTGGGCGAGGCGAAGCTGGATTTGCTACTCATCGAGCCGCTGCGGACTCATTGGACGGCTCGGGACTTTGCGCCGGACAACATCTTTGGCTTGGTCGCCTTCATCGAGCACAATGCCGATAGCATGGTCGACCTCACCGAACTTTGGGATGTGTGGAGGACCTGGCAATCCCCACAGCGTGGATGGAGGGACCCATCCTTGGTGCCCATCCCGGCTGACCTGGTTGCGTGGAGAGCACCACGGGCCAGAGCAGTCCGGTCGTTATGGGGTTGGCTTGGTGCCATGGAGGCTGGGGAGGAACCCTTGCCACCTTGCAAGGCTTGTGGACTGCCGACACCTGAGCTCTGTGAGCGATGCTTCTCCTCCGTGTGCAGCACCTGTCCACCCTCCCAGTGTCCAGGATGTCACCCCGTCTTGCGTCGAGACCCATCTGCAGCAGCTGCGGCCTAGTGATGTTTGTTTGTCACCTGATGATACTGAGGTTTGGTCTGCAGTTTCAGGCCCAGCCCGTACGCTCCAAACCTTGGCAGCGGTGGTGTCAGGCGTCGCCATGGCGTACCACCCAGGTGCCTACGCGGTGCAGGCTGCTGGTGAGGCTCCACCTTGTGCAGAGACGGCGATGGAGAGGGTGGCATCCACTCGTGTTGAACAGTGGCGAGCTCAATGGGGACTACATGATGAGACTGACTTCGCATATGCGTTTGCATCCTATGACAGCGCAGTTGCACATGGAGGACACCATGTGGCAGATGCGTGGTTGCAAGCGCGATCCAAGACTGCCGAAGCTGACCTCATCCCTCAAGCGGCTGCCGTGGCTGAGAGCTCGGGTTCCAGAGATCGGCCAACGACATGGCCTGCGCCCAAGGCGTCCATGATGAAGAAGAGCAAGATGGTCCAAGCTCTTCGAGTCCGGCCAGGCCCAGATCAACCAGAGACGGTGCTGCTACGAGCTGCGGCATTGAGGAAGGCCTTTTCTCAGGCCAAGGTCATGCGTCCTCAAGGGGAGTTGACCCCGGAGAGGTACGCTCAGTGTCAGGATGCTCTGGATACTTTGTCTAAGCGGAAGGTCACAGAGGCCGAAGGAGCGACGGTGGTGAACGCCCTGAAGTCTTGGGCTGAGTTGCGGGCCTACATGGAGCAGAAGGACCGCTTGTTCCCACCGGATGCATTGGACCTCTATGGCTTCTTGCAGAATGGCACGTCGGGGCCTTACCGAGCCTTTCACTCCTTGAAGTGGTTCTCCAAACATGGTCGGTTGCAATGGGACTTCAGTGATGTACCAGTCCCAGCTCGTAAGAATCCACCCAAACAGGCAAACCCAGAACAGGCTGTTGCAGTTGAGCCCCCAATGATTGCAGCGCTTGAAGAGAAGATTCAATCGTTGTACGAAGCAGGGGACCCGCGTTGGAGGGGCTTACTGTCCAGCTGGCTGGTTACCTTTGGTGTCCTGCGATACCAGCACATCATGCGTGCCAGGCCAGTCAAAGTGACCCCTAGCTCCTTTCATGGCTACTGCACGAAGGGGAAGCAGAAGGCCAACAGGGGCGGGTTCTCCTTCAGCATTCCGGCCACATTCGTCAACGGATGGGCTTGGGGCTCGGCCCTATTCAGGGACTACAGCAGTCTGGATAAGGCTAAGCAAGCAACCTCAGGGTTGTGCTTTGATGCGGAGGGCACCGCATACACATTGAAGTTCGTCAACGAGCTCAATCGTGAGGTCTTTGAGCACTTGGTCCAGAATACAGAGGATTTGTCTTCCTACTCCTGGCGGCGAGCAGCACCTACAGTGGGCACTTTGATGAAGCTGACGCCTCTCGAGCTATGCTCATTGGGGGACTGGGCAGATCGTTCCCAGATCCCAAAGGAGGCGACAATGCCTATGCACTACAGTGCAGCTAGGTACGAGTCTTCATTGAGGACCAAACACATTGTGCGGCTGGCTATGGAGAAGCTGCTTGCCCATGAGTCATGGGAGACCATCCCAACGGAGACCTATGCTGAGGCCCTGGAGTATGCGCGCCAGAACGTGGACAAGGTGCTGAAGCAGGAATCCAGGGTCATTTGGGCAGCTCCTTTGACGAAGGCTGAGATGCAGGCGCGCTTCCAGCTGTCGGAGGCGCTCAAGCTCAAGGCTGCGGCCAAACGAGCAGAGGCACAATCCAAGGGTGGCCTGTCTGCGATGCCGGCATCTCTCAATGGGAAGGTGCTGAGCGCATTCATGAAGAATGGGGCACCCATTTGTGGAGCTTTTCAGACAAGGTCTTGCCCCCTGGAGAAGGAAGTGTGCCCTGGTCGCCATGCACGCGCCATTCTGCGCAAAGCTGGACGAGTTTGCGGTGGAGGCCATCCGGCATGTGAATGCCACGACAAGAAGTTCATCAAGGTGGAGGAGATGACTGGCGAAGGGCCTGGTTCGGGATCTGCTAAGGCCAAGCCTACTAGCAAATCCACGGAGGAGCGACCTCCGGAGCCAGCTGCCCCTCCTAAGGCGTCAGTGAGGCGCCCACGGTCCCCACAAGGGCCGCCGTCTAAGGCACCGCCAGCGAAGAAGGCCAAAGCAGCCCCAGCTCCACCTCCTGCACCATTACCAGCCCTGGTGACCAGTTCGGAAGAAGAAGAAGTCGAAGTTGAGCAGGAGGACCTTCCGATTCCAGAGGCACTGGATACTCGAGGGCCCGACCAGAAGTTCGACAGGTTGGCGACAGTCCACGGCAAGACAGCGGAGAGCCCGAGCCTTATTTATCAGAATAGGGCAGGGGGCAAGCTGTGGCTGAGTGGAATTCCAACCAGGAACACGGCAAACCGCTTTCCAAAGGGAGTTACCCTTCAGATTGCGTGCATGGCCGAAGCCCCATCATCCAGAGGAGGAGTGGTGCTCACAGATGCCCTATTGAAACACCTGTGTGTGGCCCATGGTGGTTCGAGGAACAGGGACTTTGAAGAAGTCTGGCCTTTGCTGCGCAATACGATGTATGCAGGCGAGTCGGCCTTGATCCATTGCCTATCAGGGCGCCACCGAGCAGGTGTTGGGGGCTGTGTGTTCCGTGCGCTGCTAGCCCAGGAGAGCTGGGATGTTGCAGTGGCCTACGTGAAGAGCTGCAGGCGCTCGTTGGACCTTTATGCGGGGCCTAATACACCTCTGTCCAAAGCCTTTATCTTTTGTGGTTGGGAGACCATTTCAGTGGATTGGATGTTGGATAGGAGTCATGACCTATCCAACAGCCTCAGGCAGCAATCGCTGCATGAGCAGTTGCAGTCCGTGTGCTTCATCGCAGCAGCTTTGGATTGCTCCACCAAGAGCCGCGCGAGGGAAATTCCGCGGGATTTTGGTGATGGGCGCCCACCGCCCCGACCGTTGCGGTCTGAGCAGCACCCGCTGGGTCTACCTGAGTTGACAGGTTCTCAGCAGACAAGGGTGGAGCAGGATAATGCGGCTGCGAGCTTTGTACTGTCTGAGATTGATCAGTTGGTGGACAGGGGTGGTGGCTCAGTCCGCGAGAACCCATACAACAGCCTCCATTGGTGGACACCGGATGAGGTGGCGATGTGGGAGAGCGGTCGCTGGTCTGACCAGCGGTATTCAGCCTGCTGTTTTGGTGGTGCGAGATCGAAGCTGCAGCGGTTGCGCCACAACATTGCAGAGATCGCTCAATGGCCTCGAGCTGACTGCAACCATTTCCATGATCCCCAGGAATGGGAACCTTGGGTCCAGAATGGTAAGCGCCATTTCCCTTCAGCTGAGGAGTCCGAGTATACAGCAGAGCTCTGTTTTGCGATTGCCACGGCAGCTTCGTGGTGGGCAGTGCGTGTTGGACACGCCAAGCTCTATGTGCCGAGGTCCCCATCGCCGAGTTGTACTGGGCATCGGGACCATTGGCTTGACCTCGATCCCAGAGCACTTCGTGAGTGGGCTATGACCCCACTGGCCATCAGCCTGGGTTTGAGGCCTTTGGACACAGCTGAAGCGGCTAGGGTGCCCACGAGAGCATGTGTTGAAGATGTCTTGCAACAGGGCGCACTTCCCCCCGGTCATGTGTATGTGGGGCTTGGAAGTCATAACCACCGCCTA